CCTCTTCATAGCATTTATCATAATTAATGCTTATTTGTGTTTTTTTTTTTCATAAGCACCATGAGGGCAAGAATCTCATCTGGTTTACTCACCACTATAAACACAGCATCTAGTTTGATCTAGGGGCCTAATACATTTTTGTAAATGAATGTTAAATGAGTGTTTAGAACTATTAGCATCCTGGTGGGTCATTGAAGACCCATAGAAAACTTGAGATCAGGATGCCTGGCTGGCTCAGTTGTTAGAGTATGCGACTCTTGATCCTGGGGTTGTGAGTTCGAACCCCATCTTGGGTGTAGAGATTACTTAAAAATAAAATCTTAAAAAAAAAACCCTCGAGATCAATGCAGCAGGATGCTGAGTCAAAGACTGAATTTGTGTGCAGTCTTTTACTTCTCTAGCAAAGAGAGGTGCCGGAAAGGTCTTGATGGTCCATAAGAGGGGGATTCCTTTGGAGGACAGTGCTGTAGAATTTCCCTCCCCTCCACTTGATACACACAAAATCCAGGAGGGATGAGGAGGCTCTCTTGTTAGGAAATAGAGGGTAATCAGCCTTCTTGTGCTTTGAAGACTGTAAAGGATACTGGTGATCTTACATCTAGGATCCATGGTCCTCTTGGCCCTTACAGGACTCCAGTTTTACTCAAGTAGCCATACCCCCCCCTTGCAATTTATGTGACTCAAGGAGCACCCACCCCATTGCCAACTCCAATTATGGTAACCCCTTTTCCCTTCTGGAACCCAATCTTAAGTCTTCTTCACATTTGCTAGGCAGTTACTGATTGGGAGGCAGAGTATGTGCCTGTGTGACCTAATTGGTCAAAAAAACCGGAAGGAAGGATTTTAGATGGAAAAGAAAGTATATGGTCCTGATTGCTCCTGGTAGACATCTGGAAAACCACTTTAGTATGAATTTGAAACCTACCATGTTTAGAGGAGAGCAGAGAGACTAATAGACTGGGTCCTTGATAAGTTGTTGAACCATTGAATTCACCAACCTTAAAGTCTGTTTTGCCAGTTGTGTGAGATAATAAATTTATTTATTGCTTAAGAAGACCATTTGAATCAGCTTTTCTATTATCTGCAGCCAAAATGGTTACAACTGACGTGTAATATTTGACCTCCTGGCTCAATTAGTGCAGCTAGTCAGAAGAGTGGGCAAGTCACCCTATTGTCTTGGAAAAGGCAAGCAGTTGGATTCTGTGTTTCGACGGTTGAAAATGAAAATCTGTTTAACTAGCAGCTATTGCTAGTGAGAATAGCCAGGTAAGGAAAGGGATTGGGGGCAGGGTTGAGAACATGTTTGCGTGGGGCAGACACAGAGATCAAACTCACAGTAACCCCAGCTGCCTAGGAAGAAGGCTAAATATGGGCCTGAAAGTATTGTACCTGAAAAGCTGTGACCCTGAGACTTCTTGTGAGACACATCATGATTAATGCCCTCTGTTGGAGATCCTTGTTGGCCCTTCTGGGACCTGCACAACCACAGGCCTGGAAAATACAGGTCGTCAAACAGCGACACCATGTGGCTGTAAGATGCAACGACAATAGTGGGCCAATGAGACGCCAGGCCTTCCCTTCAGGTGTGTGGAAGTTGTATTTTTCTGCTAGGAATTTTTGGATCACTTAACCCCCATGAGTTTTTGAAAATGGTGTACAGGGACCCTATTTGTAGGTTCTGAATTTATTAAGCTGAGAAATAAAATATTGTGATTTCCTTTTGTGAGGAAAAAAAGCAGTGATCGTATTTGTACATGGTGGAGCTGTTTTTACAGTTTTTATCTGTATTATCAAGATGCATGAAAATTAGGCTTGAAGGCACCCAAACAAAAACCTTTCCATTTTATTAGTTCCTTTGAAAACTTGTCTATGGTTTCCCATCACCCCCTGGATAAAGTCCCAGGTCCTTAGCACACCTCCTTTGGCCTTCCTACTCTGCCTCTCCAGGGATGGAACGTATTACTCAGTTTCGTCAGGAAACCCTCAGTAAGTTCCATTATATTTTTTAAAGGCTTTGGGAGTTAGGTTTTAGGAGAGGGCAGATATGAGCTGTACCAAAGGGGCCCGGGTTTAATGACAAAAAATAATAAGGTTTACTGATTACTTGTGATCTAGGCATTATAATAATGTGCTTTGAAATTATTTAATTTGCACATGAAGTTTTCTCTAAATATCTTTCCTCCCTGTATTGCTGGGGAACTCCTACCGTTCAGAATCATTCGAGTATTCCTCTAAGTTTGCAGTTCTTGAGCTTGGCTGCACACTGGAATCACTTGGGGAGTGGGGAGGGGAGAGACACTATTGACAAACTATTAACACCTGAGTCCCACCCTGGAGATAATGATTTAAGTCGTCTGGGGCTTGAGCACCAAGTTTTCACAGCTCCTCAGGTGATTCTAATATGCAGCCAGGGTTGAGACCCACAGGTCTAGGAAGACTAAAGTGACCCATTTAGATAATTCTTCTCTTTCCCTTCTGTGCCCTGCGCAAACTTCTCTGATTACGCCTATCACACTGATCTTAATTTCAGAGCGTATATTCATCCCCCTAACTAGACTTTGAGCATCTCCGGTCAGCCACCTCTGCATTTCTGGAGCCTCAAATAGGGCCTGACACTTCGTGAAGACTTGAAAATGCTGAACGGGGCGCCTGGGTGGCTCAGTCATTAAGCGTCTGCCTTCGGCTCAGGTCATGATCCCAGGGTCCTGGGATCGAGTCCCACACTGGGCTCCCTGCTCGGCAAGAAGCCTGCTTCTCCCTTTCCCATTCCCCCTGCTTATGTTCCTGCTCTCGCTATCTCTCTGTCAAATAAATAAATAAAATCTTTAAAAAAAAAGTGCGGAACGGAAGGGTAGAATGTCACCAACAAACACATACTGGGGTCCTCCAAATGCCAGGTGTTGCCGTGCTCAGCAAGGTCTGGAACCTACAGAACAGGCTGACTAGTCCTGTAGCAAGGGCTCACAGTCACAGCCTGAGTATGTGTGTGGAGGGCAGTGTGCGGTGGCTACCTTGCCGGGGCCTCATTTTCACCTACCGCCTCAAATATGTATTTCTGCGGTCTCCCGGGCAAATGAGTTTCCAGGCGGCTGTTGACAGCACCTGCAAGGCCAGGGCTTGTCTTCAGTGCGACGGCGGTGCGCAGGCGCACACCGTGAGCTCGGCGCACTCTCGCCTACGGGGCTGCAAGTCCCGCCCCCACAGCGGAGCGAACCGGACGCGGGGCCGACCTAGACCCCTGGGTCCCCGCCCGGAGGTGGGAGAAAACAGCTCCCGCGTTCGGAGGAGCAGCCGAGGCGGGCCCTCTCGCCGCGCTCCAGCTCGACTGGCCGGCCTCCCGCGGCGCCGTAACGGTCGCGGAGGCGGGGCCGGAGGGGGCTGAGTGGGGCCGGGCCGGGCGCGCTGGTGGAGGGAGGCCGCGGCCGAGGAAGGTGAGTGGAGCTGGGGTTCCGCTCCCTGAAGCATCCCCGGGACCGGCCTGGCCTGGTCCGAGAGCATGGGCAGAACGACCCTTGTCCGGGCGCCCAGAGAGCCCGCCGGTTGAAAATCCCTGTATAAGGGTTGCGGTCCTGGACAAACCTGGTTCGAGTCCTGGCTCCCCGGCCTTTGCCATCTTTGGCTGCTCATTTAACGTCTCAGCGCCTCCGTTTCTTTCTTTCTTTCTTTTTTTTTTAAAGATTTTATTTGTTTATTTGACAGAGAGAGAGAGACACACAGCGAGAGAGGGAACACAAGCAGGGGGAGTGGGAGAGCGAGAAGCAGGCTTCCTGCAGAGCAGGGAGCCCGATGCGGGGCTCGATCCCAGGACCCTGGGATCATGACCCGAGCCGAAGGCAGACGCTTAACCGACTGAGCCACCCAGGCGCCCATCGCCTCCGTTTCTTCATGCGTAGCATACAGCTGGTGATTCTTGGCGTTAGGTGTGGGTTGAGAAGGTTGGACGAGGTTGAACGAGGCCGTAAGCGTAAGACTTAGAATGATACCTGGCGCAGACTGGATTGCGGTTAAGTCCTGGGCGATTCCTCCGCATACGAGAGTCGACCAGAGCTCACCCGCTTTGCTTTTCAGTGTCAAGTTGTCGGAGAAGGTTGCTTGGCTAGAGAAGACTCGGAGCGAAAGGGGGATGGATACACGAAGGAGTAGGCGAGTAGCCCTTCCAACGGCTCTTTAGGCTCATTCCCGATTCGGAGGCCCGCTGACTTTCTGCGGAGTCTAAATAGATTCTGTGAAGAAAATCAATGAGGTGGAAATGTCAGAAGGCTGGGATCCGGCACCTAGAGACCGCACAGAAAGGGTTTCTACTACCACTTATTTTCCAACCATAGTAATATTAAGCATTGTGCTGGCATCACCTGCATTGGTTCCAGTCCTCTGCATGAGTTTTTACTTTCTGCATTGCCAGGTAGACTCCGGCCTCCCCCGCCACACCTTGAGGAAGAGGTGGCTGACTGGGGTTTTGTCCGCAGCTTCTGCCTCAGAGGGGGAGAGGCGTGTTCTGGCCCTTTGTGTACCCTCTCCTGGGGCAGAGTGATTGGGTGCAGATGACTTCCAATCCTAACTCCCATTTCCTTATTTGCAGTAGATTCACTTCTTTTTTTTTTTTTTTTAAAGATTTTATTTATTTATTTGAGACAGAGAGAATGAGAGACAGAGAGCATGAGAGGGAGGAGGGTCAGAGGGAGAAGCAGACTCCCCGCCGAGCAGGGAGCCGGATGCGGGACTCGAACCCGGGACTCCAGGATCGTGACCTGAGCCGAAGGCAGTCGCTTAACCAACTGAGCCACCCAGGCGCCCCAGTAGATTCACTTCTTAAGAATTGAGCAGCACGCTGGCATGTTTTTGGAGTAGAGCTTTTGTATTTAATTGACAGAGACTTTGAAAGCATTGCTTGTTCCATTTATTGAAGTCATGTGAAATATATGCTTTTGAGATAGTTAATTACAGATTTTGATGTCTCAATTGAGAAAGAATCATTACAGGCCATGGTTTGTTATTTCCAGCTTTCCCCAAAAAAGTGGTGAAAAATAGTTACATTTATTGGATGATGCTTGTTACCTGGACTTCATACCTATGAAGGGTAAGTTACCAGAGGACTCTTGGAAACCTGGACAGTGCCAGAAGATACAACATGCTTTGCTTCTCTGCATTTGGCTTTTTATGCCATTTACAAACCAACTTGTATCCTGCAACCCCTATTCCCATGGTCTTACTTTAGGTGTGTTTTGGCACTGATTAAAGCTATAGCATCAGCTTTGGCTTTGGAAAACATTTGGTCTCTGCCTGTGACTCAAAGTTCCAGATCTGTGTCCTGTCACAGCTTATAGTGGGGGAAAATGCTGGTGCACACTATCAGCACATTAATATCCCAGCATGGATCTCTGGAAAGGAGGGCTTGGTCACAGGTGGAATTGAGACAGTTTTTCTTCCTGCCTTTGCCTTTTGTGTTTAGTGGTATTTGTCTGAGGGTGCTTCATTTTAGTACCCTTGCAAATGAGAATAATCTACCTTTGTAGCCAGAAGTCAGAATTGATGATAGGTTATGATAAATCTGGACTCCCAGCTAAATGTTTCAACAAAGCAGGGAGAGGAAAGAAGAGAAGGGAGAAGACACATGGTGATGAGCGTCGAGTCCATCAGTGGTTACTTAAGTTGTTCCTATTTGAGTTCAGTGTTTACATAGATGCTTGCTCTGGGAGTGACACAAGACCATTCTTAGTAGGAAGTTGAACATTTTAAGATTTTGGTTTCTTTATCTTTTTGAAATCTAGATGAAGATCCAGTTTCGGACGTGAGACTCACTGGGTGATCATTTCATTGAGATCAACTTAAATGAACAGGTGAAAAGTGCAAGAGGAATGTGCTCTGACTGAGGTATGTCTAATGTGATAGATAACTCTCTCTGGATGTTGGGAGGCCATGGAAAAGACCTATTATTTGTTGAATACTATAATAGATACATTGCATATATTTCCTTCTGATCTCCTGATAATCCTATCAGGTAGATATTTTAAACTCAGGTAAGGAAACTGAAGCCCAGAGAGGTTAAGTAACTACATTAATTCACATAGTTGGTGGTCACCAACTCTAATCACCAACTCTGTCCTGCTATGAGCCAGGCACTGTTCTATTTTCTTTCTATATTAACTCCTAATTTCCATAACACCCCTATGAGCCAAGTACTTTTACAATCTTCATTTTATGATAATGAGATCAGGGCACAGAGTCATTAGTATTTTCCTGGCTGTGTGGCAGAATCCACAATTCAAATCCAGTCAGCCTGGCTACAGAGCTATACCAGCTTTCCTTTGGTTAGGGTTTTCATTACTTTTGTTTTTATTATTTAATAAAAATTTTTTTATTATAAAATGAGTTTTTATTAAGTCAAACAGAAAAGAACACATGTACCAAATGTGTAGCTTAATAAATTATTAAAATAAGATGATACAACTCAGATCAGGGTGTAGAATCGTGCTCACCATGCCAGAGCCCCTCTATTGCTCCATGTCAATCACAGTTACTTCTGTACTCCCATTAGTAGCCATTCTTCTGACTTCTATAGTAATTGCTTCCTTGTGTTTGAGTTTTTTTTTCATAAATTTATATTTCTAGACACTGTAGTGTAGCCTTGCTGATTAAAAAAATTTTTAAGAACTTTTTTTTTTAAAGATTTTATTTATTTTAGAAAGAGAGAATGAACGGGGAGAGGAGCAGAGAGGGAGGGAAAGGGAAAGACTCTCAAGCAGACTCCTTCTGAGCGTGGAGCCTCATACTGGGCTCCATCTCATGACCCTGAGATCATGACCTAAGCTGAAACCAAGAGCAAGATACTTAACCAACTGAGCCACCCAGTTCCCCCTTAAAAACTCTTTTAAAATATCTTAAAAAAATCTTTTAAAAGATCTGTAGTTTTCCAGGGTGCCTGGGTTGTGCAGTCAGTTGAGCATCTGACTCTTGGTTTTGGCTCAGGTCGTGATCTCAGGGTTATAAGATTGAGCCCCGCGTTTGGCTCCATACTCAGCCTGGAAAGTCTGCTTGAGACTTTCTCTCAAATAAATAAATCTTCTAAAAAAATCTGTAGGTTTTCTCTTTATTCCTTCCTTTCCCTTATAGTTTATCTGATGCAGAATCTGGGTTTGACTTATATATCCTATAGTCTGGATTTTGCTGATTATAAATTCATGTACAATTCAATACGTTCTGCCCTGGGTAACTCCTGCACATTGGTAGCTGGATCCAGGACTGGATCAGACTCAGATTCAAGTCCTTTGGCAGTTCTTTAAGCGGTGTTTCGCAAGACCATTGGAGGTGCCTATGTTTCTCTTTGTGATCTCAGCAACTCTTGATACTTCATGCCTGTATCTATTCATTTAAGGTTGCAAAATAGTGGTATTTTAATTCTATCCTGTTTTTTTTTTTTTCTTATTAATTGGCATACTAGTCCCTTATTTATCATCTGGATACACAGCTGTACAATTCCTTTAGGACAGGCAGCATAAATGCTTGATTCTTTCCATTTATGTTCCTTATCTTCTGAAGACCATTCTTTTTAGAAAATCTAATGTCAGTATAAGGTCATGAACTTAAACATATTTGTTGGGTTTTAGTTCATTGCAATCATTATCATTATCGAAGCTCATGTTGTCTCATCTTTGCCCTGCGGGGAGCCTATTTAAGCCTGTTCTTTTGATATGACCCTTAATAGTCTGATAGCTTGTTATCTGATAGCTTGAATGCTCTGTCCCAAATCTGAAATCATCCATTTCTTCAAAAAAACTCTGGGTTTTTTTTTTTTTTTTTTTTTTAGAGGGAAATTGCATTTCAGGGTCATAATCTGTATGCTAGGGATCCATAGTCATTGTTTGAGGCTTTTCGGTAGGCAGAGCTAGAATTCCTACATCTATTTATATAGAGACACACACACATTAAAGATTAAGTATCTCATGAGTGCATATAAATACTTTCAATACAAATTGAGACTATAGAGCTTTTATTTAATTTCTCTATTATATCTATAACCCCATTTTTTTTTTTTTAAGATTTTTTATTGTTTGACAGCACAAGCAGAGGAGTGGGGGAGGGAAAAGCAGGCTCCCCACTGAGCAGGGAGCCCAGTGCAGGGCTGGATCCCAGGGCCCCGGGATCATGACCTGAGCCAAAGGCAGATGCTGAACCATCCAGGTGCCCCTGTATATCATTTTGGTTACCCAATGCTCCTTTATTAGGTTCCTCAGGAAGGAATATCCCCTAAGTTCTTGTATGTGGATAAAAGCTTGTGTTCTTTATACTTGAAAGGCAGTTTTGCTGATATAAAGTCCTTGGTTCACACTCTTTTCCTTGAGTTTCTTAAATATATTACTCTTTTTCTTCTGGTATAAAGCATTGATATCAAAGCCAGATGATAATCTAATATTTTTTCCCCTTATAAGTCATTGTTCTTTTTTTCTAGATGACCAGAGAATTTTTTCTTTGAAGTCTAGTAATTTTATTAGGATGGGTTAGTATTCTCAAGTATGTGATATGCTCTTTCCATATGTAATTTCAAATGTATATATTTTTTCATTTCAGGAAAGTTTTATTTTTTAAACAGCTTTATTGAGATACAAGTGATCTACAATAAGCTGCACATATTTAAAGTGTACTATTTGATAAGTTTTGACATATATATATATATATGTCAAACCATCACACAATCAAGATTGGGCATATATCCATCACCCCAAAAATTCCCTTTTTCCCCTTTGTGGTCCATCTTTCCAGCCTCTTGTTCCCCTAGCCACCACTGATCTACTTATATTAGATTAGTTTTTGTTTTCTATTTTCTAGAATTTTATATAAATGGAGTCATACAGTATGTAAATCTTTGGCTTCTTTTACTCAGTGTAAGTGTTGTCTGGTTCATATGTGTTGTTGCATATATCAATAGTTTATTCCTTTTTTTTGAAGGTTTATTCCTTTTTATTGCTGAGAGGTATTCCATTGTGTGCATATACTAGTTTGTGTATCCATTCAGCTTTGATGGACATTTGAGTTGTTTTCAGTTCCTGGCTATTACAGATAAATCTCTTAACTTTTATGTACAAGTCTTTGTGTGGTCATATGCTTTCATTTCTCTTGGGTAAATACCTAGGAATGGGATGGCTGGGTCTTAGGTGTATAGTTAACCTTTTAAAAGAACTGCCAAAGTGTTTTTCAAAGTGGTTGTCCTATTTTACATGACCATCAGCAGTGTATCTGAGTTCCAGTTCCTTCATGTTAAGAGTCTGTTTTTTTGGTTTGTCTCTTTTTTATCCCTTTGCTCTATTTTGTTTCTTAAATTCTACATGAGTGAAATCATATGGTATTTGTATTTCTCTGAGTGACTTATTTCACTTAGCATAATACCCACTAGGTTCATACATATTGTTTTATAGCCGAATAATATTCCATTGGATATATATTGCATCTTCTTTTTCCATTCGTCTATCAATGAACACTTGGGCTGCTTCAGGAGTTTGGCTATTGTAAATAATAGCCAAACCCTTAGTTTATAGCAGGACTATACATGTAAAGGGTGCATGTATTCCTTTGAATTAGTGTTTTTATATTTTTTGAATAAATACCCAGTAGCATGATTACTGGATCATAGGGTGGTTCTATTTTTAATTTTCTGAGGAACCTCCATATCGTCTCACACAGTGACTGTACCAGTTTGCATTCCCACCAATGGTGCACAAGGATTCCTTTTTCTTTTCTTTTTTTTTTTTAATTTTTTTTAAGATTTTATTTATTTGCGAGAGAGAATGAGAGACAGAGAGCATGAGAGGGAGGAGGGTCAGAGGGAGAAGCAGACTCCCTGCTGAGCAGGGAGCCTCCTTTTTCTCTACATCCTTGTCAGTACTTGAGTTTTTGATTTTAGCCATTCTGAGAGGTATGAGATAATACATCATTGTGGTTTTGGTTTGCATTTCCCTGATGATGAGTGATATTGAGCATGTTTTCATGTGCCTGTTGGCCATCTGTATGTCATCTTTGAAGAAATGTCTGTTTATGTCCTCTGCCCATTTTTAATTGGATTATTTGTTTTTTCGGTATCGGGTTGTATAAGGTCTTCAAATGTTTTGGATACTAACCCTTTATCAGATATGTCATTTGCAAATATCTTCTCTCATTCTGTAGGTTGCTTTTTAGTTTGGTTGGTTGTTTCCGTTGCTGTTTTTATGGTTTCAGGTCTGCATTTAGGTCTTTAATCCATTTTGAGTTTATTTTTGTGTATGGTGTAAGAAAGTAGTCCAGTTTCATTCTTTTACATGTAGCTGTCCAGTTTTCCCAACACCATTTATTTATTTATTTTAAAGATTTTATTTATTTATCTGACAGAGAGACACAGCAAGAGAGGGAACACAAGCAGGGGGAGTGGGAGAGGGAGAAGCAGGCTTCCCACTGAGCAGGGAGCCCGATGCGGGGCTCGATCCCAGGACCCTGGGATCATGACCTGAGCCGAAGGCAGACGTTTAATGACTGAGCCACCCAGGCTCCCCCCCAACGCCATTTATTGAAGAGACTGTTTTTCCCTTTGCATATTCTTTACTCCTTTGTTGAAAATTAACTGACCATATAATTGTGGGCTTATTTCTGGGTTTTCTTTTTTTTTTTTTTTTAAGTAATCTCTACACCCAACATGGGGCTTGAACTCACAATCCCGAGATCAAGAGTCACGTGCTCTCCCAGCTGAGTCAGCTAGGTACCCCTGTTTCTGGGTTTTCTATTCTGTTCTACTGATCTATGTGTTTGTTTTTGTTCCAGTACCATACTGTTTTTTTTTTTACTATAGTTTTTGTGATATAATTTGAAATATGGAATTGTGATACCTCTAGTTTTGTTTTTTCTTTTTC